TGGGGTCTCCTAAAGCAACACACAGTTACTGGCAAGCCTGAAGGGCTGCAGGGGTCAAGGGTGCAAAAACTGGGTGTGGAAGGGATTGAGGAAGGCTATACAGAAGGTCTTTCAATTGGCCTCAGAAGGTTCTGACACACCATCAGGCACATCAGGAAGAGCAAGTTCACTCTTCCAGATCTTGTACCAGGTTGTGGGCTGGAGGAGGAGGAATGAAGGGTGAGCCTGACTGGGCAGTAAAAAGAACACTGAGGAACTCCTGAACCCAACCAACACGCCCTTGGGGGAGCATTCACCAAAACATTCACCAATATTGATTACAAAGGTTTTTGAGGTCTTTAAATGCCATGAGTGGATGAGATTCATCTGACAGTTCTAGAAATTGTTAGGGTGTATGGTCTGACACACCTCTTCAATATTGCACTGAGGTCAAGGACAGTGTATGTAGTCTTGTAAATCAGTGTGATGTTTCATCTTCAAAATGGGTGACCAAATAGTGTGCACCATTTATTGGGGTATCATGGTGCTCAGTCTAGCTGGGAAAGCTTAAGAAGCAAAATAAGGCTCTGACTGACGTTCAGATGTCGGATCAAGGAGAACTATTGTAGATTCCATCTTGGCCATAGAACAGCAGACCAAATTTTTATACTTGCAAGGCTACCATGCTAGTACTCAGGTACTGGGGCCATGGCTACAGACATCTGGAGGTAGTATAATTGTTGCTTTTTCCCATCAAAAGGAGCCAGCTGAGGTGGTCTGAGCATCTACTTAGGATGACTTATAGATGCCTTCCATTGAAGGTTTTCTAGGCATGTTCAACCGTTAGGATTAATTTCAGTATATTCCCATCTCCATGTTTCATGTTTGGCACTATGCAGTCATTATAGAAATCCTGGCCAGGTCAATGCCAAACATACAGCACTCCATCTGATCTAAACTAAATTATTTGGTTTCAACTGGCCAAAAAATGTGCACCAATATTCATAACATTTCTTTTCATGTAAAAAAAAAAATCACAGTTCTATGCCATTTACTGATTGTTTTCTTCTTACATGCTGTCTTTAGAGGTCGTCTTCATGCAATGTCCTTTGCGCTGTCACAGTCACTGAAACATCAATTTTCACAGAAAGTGACATTTTCAAAAAATTTGCCCTTAGTTAAGATTAGATCCTTGTAAACATAAGTTATTCACAAAGCATCTTAGTCCCCAAGAGAACTCCTAGGGTGAAAAGTGTTAAGAGCATGAAGGAGGACTTTTAAGACTTAAGAGTTTCTTAAGAAGAGAATAAATGATGGAAAGTCAGAGGTAGAAGAAATATTCTCCCAACACTGAACAACAGTGAGTTAAACAAGCACTACAGATTAGATCGTACAGTGATAATGTCTGTGGTTGCTCTCAACAGAAATGTGCTCACATCTCCCACCCAGTGCAATAATGCCCTAACACCAGAAATGAAAGTGATCACAACATTAAGCTATTTGGCAACTGAAAAAAGAAACAGTGCAGCAGTGATTACATGTTACTTTTGCAAGTTCCCATCAGCAGAGTAATCACACAAACCGTTACAGACCTTTCTATTGTACCTTGCAGGCTCATAGACAGAGCCAGCATCAATTTACCACAGAAACATGAAGACATTTTGGAGCCATTTTCCCCCCATTAATACCAAATTGATTAAGCAAAAAAGTATTAAAATTACCAGTATGGTACACTTAGGCAATTAAATATAAAAACTATGAGCAGAGTAATCATGCTGACCTCCAACAGAGCTGAATCATCAAGATATGACTGGTTGAAGTGTTGCGCCAACAGAGTATCCTTACATTCAGCAGCACTCACTTATTATATTTGAAAATGGAGTCTATCACTTGGTTTTCTAATGGGGAGCTAAAATAATGGCTAGGAACAAGGGCTCCATGTTGCAAGCTAGTAACACCACACCAATACTGTCAGTTATGTATCACTTCTCTGCAGCTTGCACCACCACAATATGATCTATATGCCTACCAATGGGGTACAACCACACTGCCTCATTGAAATAAGGTTGTTTTTTTTTTGTTTGTTTTCCTTGCTCAGTTTCTCTGAGCAGTTTCCTAAATCACTTTTAAGCTACGACTCCTCGCTAGTGATTTTAAGCTAAATTAAAAGCTCTATGCTCAGAATGTTTGTAAGGGCCCAGGTTTCTTATCAGGCAATTAATACAAAATACAATTAACGAAGATTAGCCGTCCCTGATAGGCTAGTGGTTAAGGCGCAGCGCTCTCGCCGCTGCGGCCCAGGTTCAAGTCAGGGTTGCATCAGCAAGGGCATTTCGGCGTAAAACACATGCCAAATGTCAACATGCGAGTCGTCAGTGTGATGATTCGCTGTTTTGTTTTTTTTCCTGCTGTCTCTCTATACAAGCCATTTTTCTTGATGGACAAGCAATGAGATAAGACCTTCATTCAGAGCAAATGTTAAAGTTTAGGTCCAAAAACAGCACAAAAGTCCATGTGCCAGTTAAAAAATGCCACAGGATTTACAAAAAATAAAGCTTGAAGATCTACTGTTGAGAAAACACAAGACGTGGTTTTGTAAGCACTGATGACCTAACTTTGTCTCAGTGTTCTTTACGACAGAAAGGAGTACTGATTTAATATGCTCCAAACTTTTATGACCACATTGGCATAATCAGGATGGCATACCAGGACAGAGAGTAGTTTATCACAAATGTCCATAACATGGGCCCCAGGAAAGCAGTGTGTGGGTTTAGGTTGAATGTTCATTACAATAAAGCTTCCTATGATCAGTGCTGAGGGACAATACTGGGAGGGATATTGGGGCAGTGGTGGTAGAGGTTCTGACTGGGGGTGAGTCTCATTTAGACCAGTTAGGATAAAGATGAGCCAGATGAGGATGAGGGGACAGCAGCAGCGGGAATGAAGGCAGGAGGAAACAGCAGCTGCTGTACTGGTGGAGCTGCTATCATTTATGATAATAGGTGAGTCATTTCTCTACAACACTTCCTCCACTCATGACCCAAACTGCTGAGTGTGTGCACATGTCTGATGTATTTCCACTCAGAACTGCTGCTGCAGTCAATTGTATTTACTGGTTATGGCTGTATTTCAGATTCACTGCTGGGTTTGAAATAAACAGATTGGCTGCAAGTTTCAGGAAGTCATATTTACAACTTTGTTAAAAGGACTATTACAGAGTGAGCCAACTTGTTCAAACTGTTTGCCCAAATAAAACCCTGTCATTATGGCCACTAGTGAGAAATCTCCACTCACTGGGTGCTGAATTGGTAACAGTTTTTGGAAATGACTTAACATTAATACAACAATAACATAACATTGATTTATTATCACTAGATTATGATCAGTATAAAAAATAAATAATTATAGCTAGCAGAGAGAGCTGTGAAATGGCAAACACTTCACAGTAAGGCCCTGCAAATACATCAGTGTGCCGATATTACTGGCTGAGATGGAATACGACTCCTTCTCAAGTCAAGTCAAGATTTTTATTTGCGATTTATGCATAAACAGACAGTCTAGGTATATCAGAATTCTTGTGCAGCTCTCCTTTGGGAGCCTACTATGTTATCAATGTTGTCATTGTGTAGTTTGTCCACTCTTGACACCATTGTTGGAACAAATCACAACAATCAGCTGACCCAGGAAGAGTGGAGCAGGGCACAGAAAAACGAGTACTGCATGACAGAGATCATCTGTGCAAATGGTGACGACAGTTTAATTGCTTAAACAATAATAAAAATATCCCCCATCACATCTTCTCTTAGCCTAAATAAGCCCTACAACATTCATGACATGGACACGTGTACCTCAGATTCAGGTTTGGTTTCAAAGCCATTACACCCCTAGTGTCAAGTCATTCAGCTACAGCTGTTAATGCAGAGTCAGATTATTGACATTTCATATCATCTGTTGCCCACCTATTTTAGCTTGAGGTTGTGAATATTATGCTAACACTCCAAATTATTTCTGTATTTTGAAACAACTAAAGGTGATTACAGATTTCAGATGAATCACTGACTTTGAGTCATTTAGTTAACTGCACATGTAGAAAGCTGAACCAAAGTAGATTCGACAATTTAAAAGAATTAACCTATTCTCCAAAATGTTGAACCACAAATATGTCCTTCATAAAAATAGATGTACATGCATACAACATACAGTACTGAGCAAAGGTCTTAGGCCACCATTAGTTTGGCTGTATTAGCAAGGTTGTAATGTCTCTTTATTAAAGTCTCCACGGCATGCTCATTTTGCTCATTTCCAGCCATTTAATGTTTAATCATGGGTACCTCTTAGATTAGCTTGCCACCCCTCATAACTACAAATACTCAGAATGATAAAACCAGTGAGCCTCTTCCTAAATACGAGAGGATAGTTCGTGAACATGCACAACTCCTGTTGTGACACATTTTGTTGCGTCACAAGTGGACAGTACAACGAGCCGCACTGGAATTAATTAATTTGAATTTCTCCTCCATAGATAGGTAAACAATGGTATATGTATAAAGCTGGTAATTGAGAAACCCCATATTTTAACTGGTATGACGCAGACATAGTAACTTCTCGAGCCTTACATCAGTTCTCTATAACCTTACAGAAACAATGCATTTCCAGACATGCAATGTGTGTTGTTTTTTTTTAACATACCGTTAAGTCACACCGAGTAGTGGAAACATCACTCCCTTTCAAGTAGCTCCAAGGTTGCTGAATCCAAACGGTGGTTGCTGCATCTTCCCCCACACGACCACATACAGTCCCAAAGTAGTGAAATCAATTCCTACAGGTAGCAGAACACCTACAATAACATCATGGATCGTTTATCTTCTCGTTAACTGGCAACACATCACATCTGGCAGGCACACTGGCCTCAAGCAGTCAAAACAAACAGGTCCTGTGCTCCTGGGGAATCCATCATTGATGAGTTGATCATTCACCACTGGGAAACTTCACAGACCTGTTGCTTGTTGGTTAGACCTAATCAAGTGAAACTGCAAGTCCCTGTACATGAACATTCCCAGACATGCAGTAACCGCAGGCTCTGTATTTTTCTCCACTTCCTCTGGTCACAGTGCAGCAGGAGGTAAAGCTCACATGAAAGCCCAACTGCCTGGATTTTATGCCCATTCAAGGAAATCCTTAAACTATCACAACAACTTTATTATGGTAGAAAAAAGGCTCACGAGCGAGAGTTTGCAACACAGGTATAAACCAAGTTTCTTCTACATAGAAATACTAGAACATACGTACACCTAATTATGATCTTTTCTAAGATTCTAAGATTATAATTCACTGTTGTAAAATTATAGATAAGTCAAAAAACAAGGAAAAGCATGCCATGGGCTTTTTGTTAAGATACAAACAGAAATTACAGGAAATATATACACAATATTAAAAACTAAATGTTCAGGATACAATATCTTCTACAATTCACCGTTTTTAGTGTCAACTTCCTTTGCACTTAACACAGCTTGAATTATTTTGGGACGACTGTCTTGAAACCATGACAGACCTTCCTCTGTTTCAGGGAAATATACAACAGATACTGTAGGACTGTGGACCCCATGTTAGGTAGTTTGTGAATGAATCATGAATAATTGGAGTGAACTTAGTGCATCTCTGCAGTTCCAACAATTCAAGAGTGAGATGTCTTCACCGGTAAAACGATTGGTTGATTGGATATCAATGATGGAAATTTTGCACCTTCTGGTCAATGGCATACATGCAAATGGTTATTATCGTCTGTCATCTTTTACATTAAATATTATACAAGAACTTTCATTTGTTTTGTTTTTTTGTTTTTTTAACCCAAAGTACTGCCAGATGGGCAAAGAGGTACTTTTAACTACAGCACAATCGCAGCCGAGAACAGAGACTTTTCAGGTATTTGCCATTATTGCTAGGGATGCAGAGAAGCTCAAAAATTGCCATTTGTATGTTATGCAAATGAAACCACGACACACACTTAAGACCAATATTTGCTAGATAATATTTCATGAAAAATAAAGTAAAAAATTTTAGGAGTATATAGTCATTTATAATTAATTTGGGACCAAGTGCATGTTTCTTTTGAAAATATAACAAAAA